TGTCGTAATTACAAATTCACCGACATCTGTGTTGTCATTAACATTGCGTTTAAATTCAAGATAATTTAACATCTGATTTAAAAATACAGAAATTCGTCCTCCACTGGCGAGTGACATACATATACAAGCAACACAAACAATATATAAATACACTCGGGGATACAAAGAAAATACAACAATAATGATAATAATAATAATAATAAAACTGACATGTAACTTTGAAAACGGACATTAAAAATTGAATCTCGACAAAGCACAGAATGCATGAAATAAAAGTGCTCTGAACATTCACCCCTTCTCTCCTAGAAATGGAGTATGAGGAAAAAACACAGAAAAGAACAAATGAGAGAGAGAGAGAGAAAGAGAGAGAGAGAGAGAGGGAGGAGTCGCATGGAGTAGAACAGAAATGAAGAGTGAGGGAGAAAGAGAAGGTGACAGAAAACGAGGAGCTCTGAGAGGAATGTCGGTGATCTTGTACTTAAGACGGTTTCACGAAACTATGCCTTAACCATAAAGAAAATGAAACAATTAAGGTCAGTTATGAAAATGTCAGCCAGTACAAAAAATATTTCTGATTAAGATCCCCTATTGTCATATGAACTGAAATATCGAACAGATGGCAAGATGATTCTAGTCGGAGAAGAAACCCGGCCGACTACGAATCGTGGTGACGTATACGCGTCCATGATTTCAGAATTCTGACTCATAATGAAATTAGATAAACTATATTGTGCCCTCTCATGCATATCTCCTTTCTAATGCGCATTTTCTCCTTCCTCATCTTCTTCTCAACCCCTCATGCAGCTCATCCTTTTGCATTATTTTCTGTACCCCGATCTCTTACTTCTTATTTGCAGGCGCGTAGCCAGAGTTTGATGTTTTTTTTTGTTTTTTTTTTGGGGGGGGCACATACATGTAATCGATCGAGGTCAAAAAAGGGGTCTCCAAAATTTTAACCGATCCTGGAAATTTTAGGGGGGCACGTGCCCCCCCCCCCGTGCCCCCCGTGGCTACGCGCCTGCTTATTTGGCATTGTCTATTATACTTTTTGTATTGTGACCGTATTCTCCAATAATTTATTGGCCTTAAAGTACTCTCTCTTGTCCAGTTCTCGTCTCCCCTTTATTTCCTATTTTAGTTTCCTTTTTGTAGTTACGATTTTGTTAATTTAATTTATCATTATTCCTAACTATCATTTGAGGGGACTACAATAATTGTACAAGCAATGCTTTATTTTAGTGGACCCCTCTGTTTCCTTATAGTAAACGAATAATTGATTTGTAATGTTTTGTTGGAGATAGGCATACAACTATATTTTGAATACATTGGACATTAACCTTCTAATTTTTTATTCGCTCACTTTTTCTTCTCTCTCTCTCTCTCTCTCTCTCTCATCCTCTATTCCTCCCTTTCTCTCTCTCTTTCTCTCTCTCTCTCTCTTCTTTTCCTCTCTCTAATCCTCCTTTACCCTGTACCAGTGTTTATTAAATAAGACAGGACAAATGAAATATTATCATTTTTATTTCATCGTTTTATTAAACATCAACCTGCGTGTTTCTTCAACTAAATCAACCCTATATAGAGACCTAAGATAGTATGCCAATTTTTTTTTTAAAGCAACAATCGACAATACTTAGCAATGAAATGGTACATGACTGTGCCCTCTGGAATTAATTCACTAAGACGATGAAAGCGAAGGAATCGAGCGTTAGAAAATGTATATTTCTGTGGCTCGTTTATTATCTACATTATGCCAAAAACTTGCAACGTATCCGAGATTTGGGACGCGAAATTTTACGCCTGCTTTACGGTTTTAGAGTTTTCATTACATTGTTATTACAATTTGTTCAATGGCCTCAAAATCTATTTGCTGATTATTTTTCTTGTACTCTGCGTGCATGTATAGCCCAGGTGGTCTGAGACCAAAGCGATAAATCTATCTGGTTCAAATAACTGCAATAGGCCCACTTCCGAATCCAGTAAGAATCATAATTTGTTTTCACAATTTCGAGACGATAAAAGCCAGGTCGGGTGTACGTGACATGGTACGTGACAAATTGAAAATGAATGCATAAATGATTCCTCGAAACGTCTGAACAAAAGAAAATTGAAGTTTCGCAGCGATGGTGCCTCATCAGGTAAATACCCGGACAACGGAATCATTTATTTATTTTCAACTAGTATTTCCGAAGCATTCCGAAGCAGACTACTATATTATACAGGCATGTATTTGATACCAGCTGATTCCAGTTGGAAACCAGTAGATGCATGATTACCAGTTGCTTTACCATTTGAAAACCAATACATGATTACCACTTGAATTACCAGTTGAAACCTGTAGATGATTACCAGATGATTTACCAGTTGAAAACCAGTACATGATTGCCAGTTGATTTACCGGTTGAAACCAGTAGAATACCAGTTGAAAAACCAGTTCAATGTATCTAATGCATATTCATGATTAATTTGCATGTTAGCTCGCTAGTACTTAATTAATCTTATACTCAAATGTAATGCGCCTCAAATGATTATGTGATGGGGTCTAGCAAGAGTCTAAGTAAATATGGTTTAGTTGGTTGCCAGATGCTAAGCAATATTGATTATTGATTATCAACTGATTGCTGGTCGCTACTGGTAATCAACTGGTTATTGATCAACTGTTTGTTTCCAATATGGAAATTGGTAAAATGGATCCAACTGGTACCAGTTGACAACTGGTATTCCAACTGGAATCAATTGGTTACCAGTTGATTCCAGTATTCCAATATCCATATTGAATCCAGTTCACAAATGGAATCAACTGGTACCAGTACCAGTTGGTTCAACTGGTATCTAACTGTTTTTTCGACCTGGGCATGCATTTCGGACTCTTTGTAACCTAGCTATATCAGAGAATCAGGCATTCCAAACAGCAACCCATTACAATAATCAAGCTTACTTGTGATGAGAGCATATCGAACCAATTTCATACTTTCTTGATCAAAATATCTGCGGATACGTCTGAGATTGTATAGAAGATAGTATGTTGATTTGCATATATTTCTAACATGACTGTGTTTCCATGTTCAAATTAGTATCAAAGTATACTCCTAAATTCCTTGCTGTAACAAAGGTTTCACATTGGAGGATCCAACTCTTATTTTGAAATTTGTTGTGAAGTTCCGATAACCCCAATGCACGTTCACTATCGTTTAGCTTAAGATTATTATTAAGCATCCATATATGAATGACATTTTTACACTTTTCCAACATTCATTCTTTTATTCATCAATTCATCCATCCATTAATTTATTCATCAGTCATTCATCAATTTATTAATTTATTCATCAGTCATTCATCAATTTATTCATTTATTCATTTTATCCATTCACCAATGCCTTTGTTTTTGATTTTCCTAAATTTCGTGTTTCTATTTTGATCCTTATTACCCTGAAAATATGTTTAAATTATAATTTGAAACAACTTTCAATTACATCTAAATCATTCAAATTTACGTATCCAAAGTTTTGTATGTTTATTTTTTAATGTCAGTTAGGTTGAATGGTTTTACTTACACACAGGTTTTGTTTTACTGTTGAGGCTCTAACTCTGACTCGAAGGAAAACATAAAGAAAATGATAATGGTGATAAAAAGAAGAAGAAAATGATCAATTATTACAAAAGAAACACTGACTACACTTGACATATTTAAAATTGTATTTTCACATTAACCTATTGACAACTAAATGTATTCATTACTATAGGCTTAATACAGGGGCCACTCGGTTCCAGTGTAAGCAATGGGTTAAATGAAATATGTTGAGGTAGCAGTTTAACACAAAAAACACACAAAACATTGTGTTATAATAATGATATTAAGTTGATTTGATTTTGGTTCGGTTGATTGATTTCTCAATTTTTCATACAATAATAACCAGTAACAATCTGAACATTTTGTACATAGTGGTGAATCACCGTCATTGACTATTATTTGTTCAACAAAATGTTGGGAACGATTGACATAGCAAAATGCAGAAGAGCTGCAGCGTAAGCGTACACTTGAAGTGCATGCAGCTCTTTAACTTATGATAACAGCAACAGCAAAATATGATAATATAAACAGGCAAAAAACAATAGGAATTCACGGCATATTAAAATGAAGACAAAAAATAATGATAATAAAAATAATAATAATAAGAAGAAATAATAATAGCAATAATGATAACAATGGTAATAATCATAACAACAATATTCAAATCACTTTACAATAATGTTATTATCAGAAGAGGTGAGCTTTTGTGATATTTTTGGAAGGCATTTAAAAAGTGCTGGTTGCGAATCTGGGTAGATTATTCCATAGTTTTGATGCAGGAGTTGTGAATGCTCTGTCACCAAGGGTTGGTAGCATGATGCCCTTGAGAGGAGCGAAGGGAGCACGGGAAAACTGCCTGGTATTTACATGTATGCAGGGGGCGTTTCACAAAACTTGTCGTCGGAGACAAATGACATTTTTTGTTATAACCTACTGAAATCCTTGCTTCTGATAGGCTATTAGCAGATTTGTCACTGATTTTTGTCATTTGTCTTTGAAAAAAGGCTTTGTGAAACGGGTCCCAGGAGTTCAGATAATAATGACGGAGCGAGACCGTGGATACATTCGAAGGTGAAAAGAAGTAGAAATTACTTCGATATGTACATAATCGTCGATGTTTTCACGAAGTGACGGTAGTGAAAAAAAATGCATTCACTTTGCGTTACGATTTTCCTCACTACCGTCACTTCGTGAAAACAAGGACGTAATGTATCTGTTATCATTTTAATAGTATGCATCTACAGGGTCCGTCTTACAAAGAGTTGCGATTGATCCAAATCAATCGTAAGTCCTCCGATCAATCGCAAGTTTGCAATCTCCTATCTCTTGTGTACATAGCTGCGATTGATATCAATCGCAAATAATTTGCGATTGATATCAACTCGTTATAATACAGGGCCCAGATCTTCATCACAACGTTTAGACAAAGTGTACATAAGAGTTTTGATGTTTGTTTCTTTCGTACTTCCATTTTGTGGTAATTTTCCTGAAATCGCCTATCACCCTTGACAGAAGGGATAATATTTATTTGTTTTGAGATAAAACACGCCTTCGTCATGAATGGGACTTGCAGTGTAACCCATATCGGGACAAGCCATGTTCCGACAGTCCCGGGTTTGTATTCCCTTCTTGTAGTTGTCCCATTTAGGTGCCCAAGTGGTGGGCCTGAAGCGGCATGGGGTACTTTTGGAGATGCTCTCGGTGTAGTATGCAATGGCTTTCATATGGTCGCAGATGATGCTGAAGTAGCAATTGGGCATGTCCGTCCCTCCGTTGGGGTAGAAATCTTGGTGGCCAAGCTGTGAAAAGATTTAGGACAAAGAAGCGACTGAGTGTTCAGAGAATATAGGGAAATACTGGCAAACTTAGGAGACCACAACCCGCCCTTGTTTCTACCCTTGAAATTCGCAGGGAATACACTAAAGATTCCTTTCAATTTGAGACCTGAATAATGACTCCAAAAAATAAGTCGGTCTGTTGGTAAGTCAATAAAAATCCTGAAAATCCTTCTTTTTTTCCCCGGAAAATAATGTGCCCCCTGGCCCCCCGCCAAGGTTTTTTTTTTTTTTTTTGGGGGGGGAGGCGTAAAACGTGGAAAAGTAGGAAAGGGGAAAAGAAAGAAAAGAGAAAGAGAGAGACAGAGAGAGAGACAGAGAGACAGACAGACAGAGACAGAGGTAGAGATATAGATAAAGAGAGTTGATGGTGGGAGGCGGGGGGAAGGCGAAAATGAGGGGGGGGGGTAGAGATAGTACCCCTGTACTACCAAATTAGATTAGAAATGAGTAGGCCTACGTTTAACGTCATGTAGCCCTTTTCTGATTTCCCCTTCTTTAATCACAAAAAAGAGGAACATCTTTTACAATAGTTTCCATAGTTACCTCATCCATGAGCCCAAGCCCTCCCATTGCGATCAGTTCACCGTCAGTGTGTATGACGTCAACAAAAGTTGCATCGGATTTGTCTAGACGACAGAAGTTCCTCACCCGTTTCCCGCCAAACCCTGGGCCTGCAGGGTCCAAACCTGGTATAAAGATATATATATATATATATATAAAAGAGAGAGAGAGAGGAGAGAGAGAGAGAAAAGAGAGAGAGAAAAGAGAGAGAGAAAAGAGAGAGAGAGAGAGAGAGAGAGGGGAGAGAGAGAAAGAGGAGAGACACAGACAGAGAGAGAGAGAGAGACAGAGAGAGAGAGAGAAGGCGGGGGAGAGATTGGGTCAGTTAATATCAAATTAATGAAGGCCCCATTTCCCATTTTCTTTCAATAGAGGCCTACGTGTATGAGGCCGAAGCATCTGTTTGTCATATTGATATACAAAGTGGAGAGCGCCGCCGACATCGGAGGATGCTATACTACTAGCAATACTCTCTTTAAAAAAAGAGTGAATTTTCACTCTATTTTCACTTTCTTGGGAGTGACGTCTGTGATCACTTGTTTAGGAGTGCAAATCGATTGATTTTAGAGTGCTCTCTCAGAAGAACAGAGTGAATGTTCACTCTATTTTCACTACATTTTCACTCTCCAGAGGAGTGACGTCCGTGATCACTCGATTTTTTTTTAGAGAGTACCGCTTCAACAAAGGCGAAGTTCACTAGTACTCTATTGCATCAGGAAACAGATTTGCATAATTACGTAACAAGAAAATGGAATGTAAAAATAGCTTTAAGTAATTCAAGCTATATGCCCCCCCCCCCCCCCCCCCGCAATTAATATCATATTTCTAATTTAGGGCATTTACTCAGCACTGCGGAAATTAAATGACAAAATTCCCCCCTTCCCTTTCTTGGGCCCGCAAACTCGGTGGGAAGTACCCCTTGTGCCAGACAAGAACCTCAAGTGCACAGCTGGTGTTTTAGTGAGAACAGTGCATGAACACAATTTTAAGGAATTTGTTACATTGCCAATAGACCTACTGTTTGATCAATATTTGATCTGCCATATATTCAAAATAGTTTGTATATTGTACTAAACAATCAGAATACACGCAATCATTAGTGTAACCCTGAAGACCATTAGTTTTTGCATGAAAAGAGGAAATGATTTTCTGACGCAAAACTAGAAATTCGTTTTCCGTGCAAACAAATAACCTCCGTATAATTTAACCATTGCACCCATTTTTCTTCTCTCGCCACCTTTTCACATCTTCTCAACATTATGATCTTGCTGTCCCAACTGTTTTATCCATTATTTAGTGCGATTCTATTTTATCGTTGGAGCCATTGTAGGCAGACATGACTATGCTCTTTACAACGATATAGATTTTTTTTAAATATACGCTCATACATTATGAAGGTCGGGCAATAGCAAGATCAACTGCAAAGGCAGGCCGTATGGTGTTTTCAAATCGACTTATTCTGGAATTACTTTTTTGATTATCTTTTTCAATTTAAAAGTGGAAAGCTATCACAGAACATCCGGCTGGAATAATTTAATTAAAATTTTAATTCAATACTCTATTTTTTCACCTAATCTTACATGACCTTGTTCACTAGCGGATACTACCTTTAAATCAGGGCTGGCATACTGCATAGCGGCGTACATCATTAGAGGCGCCGTATTTGTGAAAATCGTGATCGTGAACAGACCGGACAGGTACATAAGAGAACAACAACCTACCCCCCCCCCCCCCGCCACCACCACTGAGCGAATTTTAGACCGGCGCGATTTTCAAATTTTTGGGAGCAAAAAAAAAAGTGCTCACTACTCCCACCTAATCTTACATGACCTTGTTCACTAGCGGATACTACCTTTAAATCAGGGCTTGCATACTGCATAGCGGCGTACATCATTAGAGGCGCCGTATTTGTGAAAATCGTGATCGTGAACAGACCGGACAGGTACATGAGAGAACAACAACCTAGCCCCCCCCCCCCCCCCCCGCTACCACCACTGAGCGAATTTTCGGCCGGCGCGATTTTCAAATTTTTGGGAGCAAAAAAAAAAAGTGCTCAGTACTCCACCCCCCCCCCCCCCCATATCGGCGTACATCATTAGAGGCGCCGTATTTGTGAAAATCGTGATCGTGAACAGACCGGACAGGTACATGAGAGAACAACAACCTAGCCCCCCCCCCCCCCCCCGCTACCACCACTGAGCGAATTTTCGGCCGGCGCGATTTTCAAATTTTTGGGAGCAAAAAAAAAAGTGCTCAGTACTCCACCCACCCCCCCCCCCCCCCCCCCCCCTCCCCACTGAGCGAAATATTGGCCGGCACGATTTTTATATTTCACCACACTAAATTTAAAGTTAAAATTTAAATTTGGGCCTCCACCCCTAAGAAATCCTCGATCCGCGCCTGCTACCTCAGCCACACTGCCAAGACGATTACAAACCGAATCGAATCCGATCAATAATAGGCAATTGCAGGTAAAATTGATTTTGTTCGGTTAAGTGTCTGTCTTGTGTCGGACCCTTGTGACCGCGGTATCACATCCCCGGATTTATCAAACCGACTTCCAACCGATTCCAAGCCGACCGATTTCTAGGCCACCCAGAGTAACGTAACAAGTAACGTTTTCTTTGGTCTGTTATCGGTGTGGCATTGTCTGGTGTTGTTCTCATCGGTGGGACTGGGGTACTAGGAGACCTAAGGCCTTTATCTGCTCTAGGACATACTTTTATGTAATTTATGAGTTTGCCTGAACAGTCTGAGCTGGATTGTATTGTGATATCCGCTCTTCAAAGAAATTATAGGTGACGATGGGGCATATGGCTCTCTGTCATTCTCTCTCTCTCTCTCTCTCTCTCTCTCTCTCTTTCCTCTCTCTCTCTCTCTCTCTCTCTCTCCTCTCCTCTCTCTCCTCTCTCCCTCTCCTCTCTCTCTCTCTCTTTCTCTTCTCTCTCTCTCTCTCTCTCTCTCTCTAGATAATGCTCTCTCTCTCGGGTTCTCCTCCTGCCTCTCTCTCTCTCTCCCTCTCTCTCTAATGCTTTATCTTTCTTTCTTTCTCTCTCTCTCTCTCTCTCTCTCTCTCGGGTTCTCCTTTTGTCTCTCTCTCTCTCTCTCTGCTCTCTCTCCCTATCTCTCTGATGCTTTCTCTTTATATATCTCTCTCTCTCTCTCTCTCTCTTTTCCTCTCCCTCTCTCCCTGTCTTACTCACTCTTTCTCTCGCCAAACCTTTCTCTGTGTCTCTCTTTCTGACTCTCATGTTCCCTCTCTCTCTCCCACTCTTTCTCTCTCCATATGGATTAGTGTAACCCTGAAGACCATTAGTTTTTGCATGAAAAGAGGAAATGATTTTCTGACACAAAACTAGAAATTCGTTTTCCGTGCAAACAAATAACCTCCGTATAATTTAACCATTGCACCCATTTTTCTTCTCTCGCCACCTTTTCACATCTTCTCAACATTATGATCTTGCTGTCCTAACTGTTTTATCCATTATTTAATGCGATTCTATTTTATCGTTGGAGCCATTGTAGGCAGGCATGACTATGCGCTTTACAACGATATAGATTTTTTAAAAATATACGCTCATACATTATGAAGGTCGGGCAATAGCAAGACCAACTGCAAAGGCAGGCCGTATGGTGTTTTCAAATCGACTTATTCTGGAATTACTTTTTTGATTATCTTTTTCAATTTAAAAGTGGAAAGCTATCACAGAACATCCGGCTGGAATAATTTAATTGCAATTTTAATTCAATACTCTATTTTTCACCTAATCTTACATGACCTTGTTCACTAGCGGATACTACCTTTAAATCAGGGCTTGCATACTGCATAGCGGCGTACATCATTAGAGGCGCCGTATTTGTGAAAATCGTGATCGTGAACAGACCGGACAGGTACATAAGAGAACAACAACCTACCCCCACCCCCCTCTCCCCTCCCCCCCCCCCCCCCCCGCCGTCTAGCGTTTCAATAAATCATTTATCCAGGTGGCTGACACAGGCGCGGATCCAGGATTTCTTAGGGGGAGGCCCAAATTTGAAATTATGCGAGCCAAATATTGGTACGTAATAGTGACCAGCAGTGACGTAATGGGGGGGGGGGGTGCAGGGAGGGGCCAGTTTTTTCCCCTACCTCCACCGCGAAGCGCGAAAGCTTCAACAATTCAATAAATTTTAAAGAAAGAAGGCGATTCGTTGTACAGTTCCCAAAAATAATCCTCGTCTGAATAATGTTCCCCCCCCCCCCCCCCCGCGCGAAGCCCGGAAGCTTTTAAGTTTCATTAAATCATTAGAGAAAGAAGACGATTCGTTGTGTCAATATCAACTCTTAAAGGTACTATGTCCCTTTTGCAGCCAACCTCAAATGCTGTAGAACTTTGCAGGAATTATGAATATGTCATGACTTGTATGTCCTATCTGTAGAATTTAAACGTTAGCAGTGTCCTCATATTCAAATTATGCAAGAAATCCGTTTACTTGCTAGACACCACTGTCAGACACTATTGAGTGACTGACTGGCTTTTTTTCTTCTTGGGTAATAACATACATGAAAAGAGTTGTAAAGGGTACATGAGCATTTGTCTACTTCAATAACCAACTTCTTGTGATGGCCAAGATTAAACTGATTGAATCTTTGCGCAGCATAAAACGTATGACTATTCGGTGAAATTGTCTGAAAATCAAGACTATTAATTCGATTTGACAACTAATAGTCGTTCCCACTTGAAGACATTTTAAGCCCCACCTTTTTTTAAGGGAAGTTCTAAATTAGTATTATCTTTCAAATGCAGTTGGAATTTAACTTTTCATTTTTTGGCCTGCAAATGGGACATAGTACCTTTAATCTTCGTCTAACTTCAGTTCCCCCCCCCCCCCTTTTACGTTTCATTAAATCATTAGAGAAAAAAGACGATTCGTTGTACCGCTCTCGAAAATAATCCTCGTCTGATTTTAGTTTCCCCCCTTCAGCGCGAAGTGCGGAAACTTTTACGTTTCATTAAATCATCAGAGAAAGAAGACGATTCGTTGTACATCTCGACACTTAAATGTAAATTCAGTTCCCTCCCCTCCCGCTCGAAGCGTGGAAGCTTCGACGTTTCATTAAATTATTAGAGAAAGAAGATGATTCGTTGTACCGCTCTCGAAAATAC